ATACAAAACACTAGGGCCTTTTTCTTTAAATCAAGAAAGAGTTACGTGATATTAATAATTTATTGATTTATAAATTGAGGAAGCAGTTCTATAAAAGATGTGTATAAGAGATAGGTAACTCCCTACACAAGACTTCTCATAAGCTTTCAGTTCGAGACCATTCCACTCTCCTTTTCTCCTGTGCTGGGGATTCACCCAGCTCCTTATTGACCTGTTCAAAAAAAAAAAAAAATTATCAACGGTGATATCCAAACAGCCCCAAAGTCCTTTTTCTTTGGAGTAGTCTCAGATGATACAACTAACAAGTGGGATCTTTGAAAAGATCTCATTGAATTTCAGTTCTGTTCAGAAAATAAAAAAACTCTTATTGAAGGGTAAATACAAAATTGGGTCACCATCTAGACAGTCAATTAAGACTTTTTCTCGCTGATGATAACTGGCACTTAGTTTACCAAAAAGGTTATTATCACGATTATATATTAATATTTGATAATTATTTTAAAAAATAATTTTTAGATATGTAATTTTAAAATTATATAAATTACTAATAAAAATTAATTTAATTATTTTTTTTTACAAAACACGACAAGTAATTTACCCTATTAAAAAAAAAAGAGAAGTTATATAAATTTAAATCTTAGTCATGGATGAAAAAGTCATTTAATAATTATAATAAATTAATAATTTTAATAGTGTGTTATCCTAAAAAATACCGTGTAAAAGCGGTTTCCCGTGGCAGCCTCAGTCTTTTACACTGTCATCAGTCATGGAATTTCTTCATCTTTTTAAACAAGATATTTATCTTGTTTTTGTGCAATCATTTGGTTCATTTGAGTGCCAATTTCTAGAGTCAAACTTCGGATGAATTGTTGATTGATTTTCAATGGTGGCCCGTGCGAGGAATCTAGAGATTTTTTAGTCGATTTTGTCCTTATCAGAAGGAAAAAGAAGGGGAGGGAGGGAAAGTGGTTTATTTTAACTAATTAAATTAAATTAAATACATGGGCTAATGAAGTAATTTAAATTGTTAGAGTAAAATTTTCTTTTCTTTCTTTCACTCATCCTCTTTTAAACTAAACAGGCATTAGTGAGGAATTTTATGTGAGATAAATCAAGAATTTCATTTGAAGAAAACGAATTGATATAGTTTTTAATTTAATATATTCATCAATATTTATTAATTTAATTATTAAAATTTATATTTTAAAAAATTTTTAATTTTAATTTAAAAATAATAATTTTTTTAATGAGTGGATTTAACTTCTGGATTATTAGTTGATTCGTTTGTGCATAAAGCTGCTACTCAAAACTCTAGTCAGGGACCAGGAGTTTCGCTACACAGCCATTGCAGCCAGGGGCAACCACCTGCTGGTGTGATGCAAAAGACGTTGCAAAACACAAAGCACTGAAAAAGTTCCATTCCAACCCATCAATTTCACCATGGATCTTCTTGCATACTTCAATTCTTTAATAGTTCTAGTACTAGTTTTCCTACTCTGTTTCTACTACATAGTATTAAGGAGAAACAAAGTTCCTAATGTCAAAATCCTCCCACCCGAAGCTGCCGGAGCATGGCCTATAATCGGTCACCTTCCTCAATTAGCAAAGCCAGAGCTTCCTCACATAATTCTGGGAGCCATGGCTGATAAATATGGTTCTATCTACAGCATCAGGCTCGGGATACACCAAGCGGTGGTGGTGAGTTCATGGCAGATAGCTAAGGAATTATTCACAACCAAAGATATGGCCGTAGCCTCTCGCCCCAGATTGATAGCAGGAAAAATCATGGGCTACAATCACTACATGTTTGCCTTTGCCCCTTACGGATCATACTGGCGTGAAGTTCGCAAAATGGTAGTGTTAGAGCTGCTTTCCAATCACCGGATTGAGCTACTCAAACACGTTCTAGTCACCGAAGTGGAAGCCTGGCTGAAGGAACTGTACAAGCTTTGGAGTGGCAAAAAAGATGGCTCCGGTTGCGTATTGGTTGATATGAAGAAATGGTTTGAGGACTTGACATTAAACGTGATCCTTAGGATCGTCGCTGGGAGAAGGTCATTTGGTGCTGGGGCTGAGGGTAATGAGGAAGAGGCAAGACGATGCCAAAAGCTGATAAGTGCAGTGCTACATTTGTTTGGGGTATTTGTGGTGAGAGATGCTATTCCTTTTCTAGGATGGTTGGATTTGGGTGGCCATGAAAAGGCCATGAAGGAGGCTGCAAAAGAGTGGGATAATCTTTTTGGCCAATGGTTAGAAGAACATAAGAGGAAAACAACAAACAAGGAGAAGGATTTCATGGACGTAATGCTTTCTCTTCTTGATGGCACAAACCTTGCAGGTTTTGATGCAGATGCTGTCAACAAATCTACTTGCTTGGTACCTATATCCTGCTTTTCTTCCCTCTTTAATTTTATAGTTTTATTATTAAAAAAAGTTTTTGTTATATTAGAGTATAAGAAGCACTCCTACTTTATTCATCCTATTTTACTATTACAGAGTTTAAACATTTATTGATTTAGAACACAAATTAAAATAAGTAATCCAATTATACAATAAAAACTCCCGTCCACCTAATTTATCCTTTAATTAAAAAAAGATTTAGTTTGAATTACCCCCACTAATCTATCAACATCTATCTCCATTTTACTAAAAATCACTTTATTTCTCAGAAGGTGCCACGTGACTGAGATGAACAAAAAGGACCGAACAGCTTGCATTTTGTAATAATGCCACCCTGAATAAGTCGCCAAAAAGCCTCATTCACACTACCGCAAACTGCTGTATGAATGCCCCACCAAGCTAAAATCTTCATCCGCACATTGTAAGTAAATGAGCACTGCACAAATACATGATCTGCATCTTCCATAGCTTTCCCACAAAAAGAGCAATAACTATTATCACTATCAGTATTAATCCCTCTCAAACTCAAAATCCCTCTTTGGTCGCAACTTACCCAAAAACAATCTCCAAGCCAAAAAAAAAAAAAAAAAAAAAACTCACTTTTCCAAAAAAGAAATTATTCCAAATTACTTTGCATAAAACAACATCGATCCATGATCCTTTGATCAGAAGTCAAAAGACCATAGGCTTTTTTTGGATGTGTACACCCTGTTTAATTTTATTAATATTAAAAATTAATGTTGTTGTTGCACTTTGTAAATTTGATAATTTATATGAGTTCTTATAAGGTAAAATAGTTTTCAACTTATTTCCAATTAATCTTAGGTTATACACTTTGATTTATATGCTAGTATTGAGCTTTTGAACAAAAATATGTGCTTTCCTCGTAATAACTATGTATCTTTTATGAATAATACTCTTTTATATATGGGATAAAAAATGATTAATACATCTTTTGGTTCAAAATATTCGCTAACACTTATTAATTCAATAATTAAAATTTGTAGTTTAAGTTTTTTTGCTTTTAATTTAAATTTGAAAATAATAATTTCTTAATGAATGTATTGTAAGACGTATTGAACTAAAATGTATACTAATCATTATCTATGTGAGATTAATGGGTATTAACTTGTATAGTAAAAAATTAGGTAGAAAAATATTTTAAGATTATATCGTTTTAATAAAGCACCACAAGAAAATATTAGAACAATCTCATTTTTACTTTAAAAATTAGGATATTTTAATTTTTTAATAAAATTTTATCAAAGCAATGTAATTTTAATGTATTTTTGTGCTTAATGTTTTACAATGTAGACTAAAACTCACTTTTACATACATATATGTGTATATATATATATATATATATGAATTAGTACTTATTTGCTTTACTTTACAAAAATTATGAGAAAAATTATTTTAAATTATGTTATTTTAATAAAGCACTACAAGAAAAAAATAAAAAACAATCTAATAAGATATTTTAATCTTTTTAAACAAGAATTTATTAAAATATTATAGTTTGAAAGTAATTTTCCTTAAAACTTTTAAAAGGATTCCTCTAAATATATATATATATGTTTGATGTATCTAACTTTGTGATGCATTTTACAGACTATGATTATGGGAGGTGCTGACAGCAATGCAACGACCCTACTATGGTCACTTTCCCTGCTCCTAAACAACCGTGATACATTGAGAAAGGTTCAAGAAGAGCTAGACATCAATGTGGGAAAGGGAAGACTGGTGCAAGAATCAGACGTCAGCAATTTGGTCTACCTCCAAGCAGTAGTCAAGGAGACACTAAGACTATACCCTGCAGCTGCTCTTTCAGCGCCTCGGGAAGTCATGGAAGACTGCTCAATTGGTGGGTATCATGTCCAAAAAGGCACTCGTTTAATTATGAACCTTTGGAAAATTCAAACAGATTCAAGTGTTTGGGTTGAACCATTGAAATTTAGGCCTGAAAGATTTCTTGAAACATATACACATGTGGATTTTAGGAGTCAGGACTACCAACTAATACCCTTTGGTGGCGGTAGAAGAGGTTGTCCAGGGGTGTCTTTTGCTATGAAAGTGGTACCCTTGGCACTTGCTAGCTTTTTACATGCTTTTAAAGTCTCTACTCCATCGGATGCAATGGTTGATATGACTGGAAGTGTTGGTCTTACAAATGGGAAGGCTACGCCACTTGAAGTTCTTGTCTCACCGTGCCTTCCCCCTCAGATTTATGGATCATGTTGAACTCGTTATCATTGAACTATGGCGTCTAAAATTCATGAACATTTCAGATGTACTATTATTACAGTTTCTTCATCCACTTTGTTTAGTTTAATACTTTACTTTATGGAGAAGAGTTATCAATGAGAAATATGGAAATGCTAGTGAATTGGGCAAGCTGGGTAAGGGAGAGTAGTGGTTGTAAGGTTCTATTTTGTGGAGGGATGTTTGTAGATTAAATGGACTAGATATGGACAGAATGGAATGGTTGGAAGATGTTGCTGCAGTGATAATTCGGGTCGGGCTCCACCGGATTCACACTGACATGATCAGAGTATCTGCAACCCGAGGAATTATACTAAAAGAAAACACGTAAGTTAATAATAATCCAAGTTTTCTAGAGAGAGAAACTCTTTAATTATAAATATAAAGGATATGGAAAGAAAACTTGAGGTCAGTTAATACAATTGGAATGGTGGGTGTGGGTTATTTATACACCACACCTTAGTGCTACTAACACGTGTGCGCCCCTCATTAGTCCAGTAGTCAGTAGTCACCTTTCAAAGTCATGGGCTATCTGAGAACCCTTGGACTTGTGTCCTGCATTGGGCCTAGCCCATGTATGTCAGGCTTGGGCCATATAACCATTGTTATCCTTGGGCCACCACCCTAACAAAAAAGAGCTTTAGCTGTGACATAGGAACGGGGAATCATGTGCAGTTCTGCACGGATAAGTGGTTAGGGGAGGTGGGGGTGTCTCTTGCTGATAAATTTCTTAGGCTTTTTATGTTACCAACGGGCAAAGATGCAAGTGTTAATCGGACGGGAACCCGGAGGAACGGTGTGAAAATATTTCAAACAATTAATTAGCTTACAAGAATCATTATGTGAAAATATTTCAAACATGGTTGTTGTATTGGTTACCCTCTCAAGTCTCAACCATTCATATGCATAAAAACCTAAGTTAGTTGCATAATTACATTCTTCTATTATCTTAGGTAATTAAAAATGCTTCTTTCAATTTTATGATCGATACCTCGTGATAATTAAAATGGAATTTACTTAGATTACATAGGTCTACGTGGTTGTGATGTTATGTAAATTAAAAATTTACATTTTTTATTCATTATGTGGGATTTAATTCATTTTTATTCTTTTTAAAGTTTTTAGATATATAAATAAAAAAAGTTTAAATCAATTAATAACAAATCAACAATTGATTTGCATCAAATTGTTAGCACGCACACACTACACTTTCGAACATAATTTTTGAGATGATCTTCACATTGGCACTCATGAATTCTTCATTTTCCACACGAGGACGAAGAAGAAGCCTTCTGGAGAAATTAAGTTAGTGGTATCAAAGTATGGGGTCTGTGGGTTGTTCAGTGGAGGGGAGGGTGGGTCAAGAAACTTTACTAGAAAGGGTTCTGTCTTGTGGAGAAATTTAAAAAATGTTGGGCGTTGAAGGGGAGGGTGGCTAGATGCAGGCGAGCTTGGGATGTGTGTGGGTACTGGGGAATGGGAGAGATATCTTGTTACGGTTAGATAGGTGGCTGAGAGATGAACCCCTTAGGAATAAATTCACTAAACTATTTTACTTGGCAGTCAATAAAGATGAAAAAATTGGAGAATTCGGAGTTCGGGGAATGGGAATCGGGAGTAGATCAGGTGGTCCTGGGGGAGGAGATTTTTTCCTAGGAGGAAATTGTGGTTAGTGAACTAACAGATTTGGTGGAAGGAAAGACAGTTTAGCTAGGGAATTGACTTCGTCCTTATTTATCAATGTTGAGATTTGAGACGACGAGAGCATACAAAAAGGGCACCGAGTGCTGGATGAACTGACGTGTCATGGTAGTAAGTCATTGATCTTTTCGGTTTATATTATTGAGGTCACTAATCTTTTTTTTTTTTTTTTTGATGTGAAAGATCATATAACCTTATTAAACACTACAATAAAATATTTGCCGAAAAAAAGGTACTCCTATAACATTTTGGTAGAATACCTAAATCCACCCCCAAAGTATAGTGACAGGGACGGATCCACCCTTAAACAAAAAACGGGGACAAATCCACTCACAAAGTTTTCGATTTGGACAAATCACCTCAAATTTAACGTGTGACGTTATTTGATATCAGCAATCTGTTAATTTGACGTCATTTGACGTCAGCAATACGTTAACAAATTAACGAATTGCTGATATCAAATGACGTCACACGTTAAATTTGGAGTGATTTGTCCAAGTCGAAAACTTTGTGAGTGGATTTGTCCCCGTTTTTTGTTCGAGAGTGGATCCGTCCCTGTCACTATACTTTGGGGGTGGATTTGGGTATTTTGCCTAACATTTTTATGTTATTAAAATTTTAAGTTGGTTACGAATCTAATTTAAGACTGAACTACATTTAAAAAACTTTGATTTCCTTTCACTTGTTTGATTTTTTGGGTACATCTTCCCCTTGTTTGAAATCACATAATTACTTATTATAAAAATTTATTATAAAAAAATATTGTGTGTAAATCAATAAATGAATTGATATAATGATAATGTTTTTTATTTTTTATTTTTTATTTTATATCTTAAAAGTATAGATTAATTATATATTTATT